AAGGACTGTCATGGTGGCTCACGCCTGTCATTCCAGTACTCAAGAGGCAGAGGCAGAAGTGGGAGAATCAGCAATCCAGGTCATCCTTAGCTACACAGTTAGTTAAAGGACAGCCTAAAAGCAAAAGCAAAAATGTTGGGTGATCCCAGCAATCAAAAGGCAAAGACAGGTGGATCTCTTTTGAGTTTAAGGACAGCTAGAATCACACAGAGAAATCTTGTCTCAACAAAAACAAGCCAGGTGGCGGTGGCCCGCACTTTTAATCCCAGCACTTGAGAGGCAGAGACAGGTGTACCTCTGTGAGTTTGAGGTCAGCCTGGTCTACAGAGCAAGATCCAGGACAGGCACCAAAACTATACAGAGAAACCCTGTCCTGAAAAAATAAATAAATAGAAATTAATGAAACAAACAAAAAATTCTGTTGGCTTCTAAGCTCAGGGCAGGTGCCAGTGTTAGGTGGGCAAGCCTGGAAGGGCGCTGAGAGACCCATCTTGCTATTTCCAGGACCTTAGATCCTGAAGCTACCCAAACAGTTCTTAAAAAGTTGACAAAGAAGCAGATCCTAGGGCAAATGGCAGCTGGTTGCTATAGACATATATCCCTTTGGGGCCACATGGTGGGCTTATGAACATTATTCACTCACTGAACCAGCCAGGCTCTGAAAGGCCCTTCATATTACTGGAGGACTTAAGAACTCATTCACTTAGCCAAGGTCACAAGGTCATGACTGTCACTCAGGTCCTCAGCAGCTTCTGGCCCAACGTCAGGAGAGAGGGAGGGTAACTTGCCAGCCATGACTCCCTAGCCCGCTGTGACAGGAACCCCACCCACCCAGCATGATAGAAAACGTGATAGACCACCTTGCTGTCCTCCACCCTCTTGACCTCCCAGCTCTATAGCTAGGCCAGCCTTTTCTCTTAGCCATCAGCTGACATCCTCCTCAGTACCTCTCGGGCCCTGTTCCTGTCAGGCACAGAAGGGATGGGGTGTTTGTCCACATCCTCTCTGCCTCCAAAGACAAGAGTCTACTAGAGATGGGGGCTGCATGTTACTTTACAGGACTGTGAGTCTGGAAACAATGTCTAACCTGGCCAAAGCCACCTTCAGCCAGCTGGCCCTCCCCACCACCAAGACACTGAGATCCAAGGAGTCTGAGTCCCAGGACAGCCCTTCACCCTGAGAGGACAAAGGGGCAGTTATCTGAACCTTCCTCCGCCCCATTTCTTCATGCAGGTCACTCTGAAAATAAAAGCTTCTGCCCTGCCTGCTGCCCTTGGCCAGGCTCAACCTAGAACCTCACTCCCAATGCAGGTCTATGAAGCCACCTGGCCACACTCTACCCTAATACTTGATTCTTGTCAGCTTGCCCTCTAGAGAAGAGGTGCAAATTCTATTTTGCAGCAGAGGAAATGGTAGCACGGTCAAAAATATTGAGTATATAGTATATAGGAAAGCCCTGACAGTGAGCACTGAGTCCCACTGCGCCATGGGCTAACTCTAGGCAACCTTAAGGCTTCTCTAGCAGAGGCCCAATGACCAGCCTCCCTCTAATCTCAGATCTCCATCCTCTGAGTAAACAAGCAAGGTTCAATTTGCTTGTTTTTGCAGTGCTGGGAACAGGAGCCAGGACCTCCAGCATGCCAGGCAGGCATCCCATCACTCAGTAGCTCCAGCCCCAGGCTGGGACAAACAAGCTTAAGTGATTACTGATTTAGTAAGTATAGGACCTCAGATATTTTCAAATCTCCAAGCTGCACAGAGCAGAGATTTTCCACTAGTGGAAAGCAAGTGCTAGGAACAGCAGCTCGCTCAGGTGCATGTCCTCCTTGGGGCAATGAATTAAATATGGGCTACACCCATATGGCTGAAAACCTCTGCAGACACCACCCTCACCCTGCCCTCGAGAAGCCTGTACCTGTTCACTGGGACGCCATGGCAGCCTCTGGGGCTGGTGGTCTCTCTTGCCTTTCTAAGTTTCTCCCTTTCCCCAAGTATGAGCCCCAACTCAAGCCTGGTCAGCCCTTATTTATGAATTCTTCTCAAAGCCTGCTGGAGGGTCTGCCCAGGAGCTCACAGTAACAGCAAGGCCAGCTATAGTGATGAGGATGTGACTGAACCAGGCTCTCAGGCCAAATTCTTAAATGTATTCCTGTCTCCACACTGGCCCTGAGAGGCGCAGCTGTCATCCATCTCTACAAGTGGGAGGGCAAGTGAAGCTCACAGAATGGTCTGGGGTCACAGCCACTGACTTTTGGCCTCATACCTCAGCAAACTGGGTTCAGTCTTAGGGCCCCATGGGCTGGGAGTGCAGCTCACTATATAACACTTGTGTACACCTGTGTGTGCAAGGCCTTGAGCTCCCCCCCAGCACTGCAATAAACAAAATCTGGAGAGGCTCTCCGAAGGTCAGGTTCAGAGTCCTGGGCTGACCTGTCTGAAGTTCCTCCCACCCTCAACTCTCCACCCAGCACAGCTGGGCATGCCCTTCCACTCACCTCATTTCCTAAGTCTTGTTTCCCGGGTTCTCCAGCAGACCACAGTTAGAGTGGATGTTCTGGGCAGAAACTACAGCTGCCACAGATGGTCTCCTGAGCCGTTTCCATTTGCTAAACCAAGCGGATCCCCGGTGGAGTCCCATCCTGGTGAGAACACTCTGCCTGTCCCCTGGTCTAGGCACCCATGGGGAAGCCCAAGGCTCAGGGCTTGCCATTCACAATCTCACCAGGATCTGAGACATTAAGGGAATCTAAGGCACAAGATACAGGTGACATACATTATCCTCCAACAGTCTCCATGACATACTCAGGCAAGCTCAAGTGCATCTATTCGGAAAAATGTCTGACTGAGTGAGTTGATTCTGCAAACATACAAGTCAGGTCATAGGACACAGTCCAATGACAAGAAAACCAAATTACACCGTCTACTCTTCCATGTCCAAATCACAGGGAGGGCACTGGTTCTCAATTTGTGGGTCACGACCCTTGGGGGGGGGCACATTACGATTCGTAACAGTAGCAAAATTTATAGTTATGAAGTAGAAACAAAATAACTTTATGACTGGGTTCACCGTAACATGAGGCGCTGTATTAAAGGGTCTCAGCATTAGGAAGGTTGAGAACCACTAGCTGAAGGGCTTTGGGTCTGGGCATGGCCTGGGTAGGGGTGAAGAGGGTAAGGGCTGGAGGGTTGGAACCTGGAGACCATGGCTATTGTCAGGGAGCTCAAACTCAGCTACCTAAAGGGAAGGGCTGGGCCTAATGAGGAAACATTATCCACACATAAGAAAGGACACCTGAGTTCAAAGAGCTACTCTATGGGAGGTACCAAAACAGAGCAACTTGGGGGGGTGACACACATCACACCTCAGTGGACTCAAGGCCTGTAGGCTAGGGCTGACATCCAGGACAGCTGCTCAGAAGCACAAAGTCAGATTTTGATGTGAAATCCTCCCATCCATCCATCCATCCATCAATCAACGTGGGGGAGGGGTGTTGGAGAGTACTGGCTGCTCTTGCAGAAGACCTGGGTTCAACTCCCAACACCGACATGATGACTCACAACCTCCTATCATCACAGTTCGAGGGGATCTGACAGCCTCTTCTGACCTCTACCAGTACCAGGCACCGATGTGAAGCATATACATATATGCATACATCCATAAAGTAAACCAAACAAAACACCTCACGATGTTTACTTATGGGCGGACAGACTACCACGTGCCAGGGTCCATGTGTGGAGGTCAGAAGACAACTTGTGGGAGTCAGTTCTCTCCTTCCCACGTCTGAGTCCCAGGGTTCAACTCACCCCATCAGGCTTGGCAGCAGGCACCTTACCCAGCAAGCCACCTCACCAGCCTTGATTTGCTCTTTATCCAAACTCCATGAGTCAGTCCATTTGGTGGTTCAATAATAAATTTGCATCTAAAGTCTTTACTAAAAAATACTTCTTACATTTATTTATGTGTATGATGTTTTGCCAGCATGTATACATGTATACTATGTATGTACATGTATGTATGTGCACTTTTGCCCATGGAGGTAAGAAGAGGGTCTCAGATCACCTGGAACTGGAGTTATGGGTGTTTATGAGTCGCCATGTGGGAGCTGGGAATCAAACCCAGGTCTTCTGCAAGAGCAACAAGTGCTCTTTTTGTTGTTGTTTTGTTTTTCAAGACAGGGTTTCTCTGTGTAACAGCCCTGGCTGTCCTTGAACTTGCTTTGTAGACCAGGCTGGTCTCGAACTCAGTGATCCACCTGCCTCTGCCTCCTGAGTGCTGAGATTAAAGGTGTGTGCCACTACTGCCTGGCTTGCAACAAGTGCTCTTAACAGCTGAGCCAACTCTCTAGGCCCTGTAAAACATTTTGGAAAAAGAAATGGTGGCCAGAGAGATGGCTCAGTGTCTAAATGCTTACCATGCAAGCATGAGTGCCTGAGTTTGACCCCCCAGACCCCAAGTAAAAACCAAGCTGGCTGTGGTGGTGAGTTCCAGTAATCCCAATGCTGGGGAGTCCCAGACACGAGTATTCCTGGGCCGGCTAACCCAGCCTACCTGACAAGTTCCAGGCCAGTGAGAAATATTATTTCAAAAAAAGAACTACAAGCTAGGAATATTCCTTAGTTGATAAAGTGCTTGCCATGTAAGCCTAAGGTATTGAATTTAGTCCCTAGAAGCCAGGTAGAAAGACTCTGTGGTGGTTTATAACCCCAGGCCAGTGAGCAACCTTGTCTTGAAAAGGCACCAAGCCCCGAGGAATGATACCAAAGGACACACACACACACACACACACACACAAGGAATGGCACCCAGGGTTTACTGGCCTTGCAGGCACACTTTCTTATGCACCTGCAAACATCATGCATGCCCTCAGACACCCCACCACCACCAAAAAAAAAGAAAGAAAAGGAAAAAAGAAATGAAAAGGGGAAGCATGGCAGGCGTGGTAGTGCACACCTGTAACTCCAGCTATGAAGGAGGCAGAGGCAGGAAGCTCAAGACTAACCTGGGCTACAGAGCAGAGGGCGGAGGTGTAGAGAGCATAGCACAGTGTGCAGATGGCCCCATCCCAGTACCAAAGGCACTTTTCCCTGTGGACAAGGAAAAGGAAAATTGGAGTCAGCCTGGACTCGAGTTTTGAGGGACCCTGAGGAAAGGTTATTAAGAACCCTCCTCCAGGGGTCCAGGGTCTAACCTTTTGTTGCTCCTTCCCTAACACCGTGAGTGGAATTCTTTTGTTCTGGAACACAAGTTCTGAGCTCAAAGAACAACTCTCCTCCCACCTTCCATGGGTCCCAGGGTTCCATGGTAAGCACCTTACCTGCTGAACCATCTTGACAGCCCTACGGGACTTCTGCCCCACACCCCATCCACCCGACAACCTCACCCGATGTCCAAGAGCACGAAAAAGGAGATGCCGCCTTGTGTAAGTGGCTGCTGCTCCGACACACACTACACCGTCTCCACGTCATCTGTTGGCCTGCAGGGTGCAGGAAGAACTGCAGAGCACAGGCCATCATCTCAGCACGTCAACCAGCACGTGACCTGTTTGGCCACCAGCAAAATAGGACCACAACTCCCAACCTCACAGGGCTTTCCATTTCTTTTTTTTTTTTTTGGTTTTTCGAGACAGGGTTTCTCTGTGTAGCTTTGCGCCTTTCCTGGAACTCACTTGGTAGCCCAGGCTGGCCTCGAACTCACAGAGATCCACCTGGCTCTGCCTCCTGAGTGCTGGGATTCCATTTCTTTTTTAGATCTACTTATTTATGTGCATGAGTGTTTTGCCTACGTGTGTGTGTGTGTGTGTGTGTGTGTGTGTGTGTGTGTGTGTGTGTGTACTGTGTGTGCCCACAATCAGAAAGGGGTGCTGGCTCCTCTGGAACTGGAATTACAAATGGTTATAAGCCATTATGTAGGTGCTAGGAATCAAACCTAGGTCCCCTGGAAGAGCAACAAGTGTTCTTAACCACTGAGCCATTTCCCCAGAAATTTCACCATCACCCCCCATCAAAAATTTTTGAGTTTCTCACTGTAGTCCAGGTTGGCCAAGAACTCACTATATACCCCAGGCTGGCTTCCAATTTCAGGCGATCTTCCTGTCTCAGCACTAGGATTCTAGACGTGAGTCTCGCCAGGCTTTTTAAAGACCAGTAGTGACACACACAGAAGGCCATCATCTATAGGCCAACGGGCCCATGCCACCCAGAAAGTGTACCCTTATTTTAAGGCCTGACCCACAGACTTGGCGTGTCCCAAGTCTGGCTGAGGCCATATTTCTTTTTTTATTTTTTTGAAACAGGGTCTCAGGTAGCATAGGCTGGCCTTGAATTCAACATGTAGCCGAGGCCGACTTTAAACTTCTGGTCCATTCACTGGGCTTGCACACCCGTGTTTATGTGGTT